TACCTTATAAAAGATCCATATTCTTCAAACACTACACGACGTTGTAGTGGAGTAGATCCAAGATTTCTGCATAAAAATAAATTTAAAAATTTTACAAACCTTTAAAGTCAAGATAGAATTTATACTTACAAACCAATTCCAGTGCTTCGGTCAATAACACCTTTCCCTCCTCCCCACCTAGGAATACATTACATATAAAATATTTAATATCATGACAAAATTGTCGTTTAGTAACTTTTAGTTATACATACCACAATTCAGCAAGGGCATTTTTGTGAGTCATGCCTTTAGATAATCTAATTCCATCACGAAACCAATCCTCGATAGTATTGTAATTCCAATTCCTCACACCACCCGCTCCTGGACCTCGACAAGTTCTGTGTATAAAAGCGCCCTATGAATTAAATAGAGATTATTTAATTTTAGTGAATTAATGTCGACGAAATATGCGTCATCTGTATTACTTTGAATTACCTGTAAAACTCCGGAAACGGGTCCAATCTACATATTGAAATTCACATGAATGTATTCATTCACATCATAAATTACGTATTTTTATAATTGATATGATATTTGAGATGAATCACAAAAGATTCAAACATGGACAATTTTTTTTTTATAATTATCGTTCTTGACAATAAAAGTCTTTAAATATCATAAATAATAGTTGTTTATTTTTACCTGACCAAAAATCCCTTCATGCTTATCAAAGTCGGTAGTCTCTTCTGCAAAATAACTGCAATATTCGAAATAAAAACAATTAATATTCTATTTTCTAAATTTCGAAATATTGCGGCGAAAAACAAAAAACAAATGCATACTCTCCAATAGGTTGTAAAACAGGATGGGAAGTAACTACTTTACCAATTTTTTGATCAAATATGGCGTGAAAAGTGCCAATCCCATGCGAACGAAGAAGCGATGCAAATCTTAAAAAATCAATTAAAAAAAAACCTTTAGAATTATCTCAATTTATAATCAAAATGTTATAACTTTTAATTACCCCTTCGGAGAAAGGGAAAGAATCGATGGTTTTGCTATCGATGACATAGAAAAAAATTTAAGATCTGTTTTATTTTTTTATACTTTAATATTTATATACAAAAAATGGGGATGATGTTACACTAACTTTAGGCGTCGCTAACTGTAACATACGACCCTGAAATTCTATACTTGTATTATTAGTTCGAAATCATTCTATATAATTTAAATTTCTTTTTCTTTTTTTTATTTTTAAATAAATAATGACATTAATTAACATAGAGGAACGTTAACAGCCAACCCTCCTTGGCTAGTTTCTTTATATTTGCTTTGCATGTCTAACCCAGTCTGCCGCATAGTCTCAATTACTTGATCCAAAGTAACTCTATGATTTCCATCACCATTTAATGCTAATTGAGCAGCGGTTATAGCCTTGATTGCACCAAGAGCATTACGTTCTATACAGGGAATTTGCACAAGTCCATCTATTGGATCACACGTTAAGCCTAGATTATGTTCCATTCCTATTTCCGCCGCGTTCTCTACTTGTTCCGGTGTTGCGCCCTTTAATAAAAATTAATATTAATAAATGTAGTGATAGTACATATGCATGCAAATTGAATCTTTGACTAACCATTACTGCGGCGAATCCAGCTGCGCTCATGCTGCATGCTGTGTGCGATACGAGACAAAACACGGTTACGTGTGTAAGTAATTAACGTTAATAATTATTGTATTGATCCCATATTGTTTCATTACTTACCAACACCAACTTCTCCTTGACAACCCATTTCAGCTGCACTAATGCTTGCACCTCGTTTGTAAAGCATACCTATAGCGGCGCTAGTAAACAGAAATTCCATGATATCCCGTGTATGATTATCAGATATAAACTCCAAAATATATTTTAGCACAGCGGGAATTACGCCGGCTGCGCCATTAGTTGGTGCAGTAACCACCCGTCCACCAGAAGCATTTTCCTCATTAACCGCAATAGCATACAATGAGATATAGTCCAAGACAGGTAACGTGAGTTGTTTCCAAAGTTTTCGTGGAATAACTTTTTTGTAACTTGTGCTTGGCACTAGCAAATTATCTGTCACTTTCAGAGGTGGAGGTTCATTTATTCCACTTATTAGTTTCTGGTATAACCTTGGAGCTCTCCTTCGTACTTTTAGATTACCCGGTAAATATTCTTCAGTGTTAATACATCCATTTTGAATGCTTTGATTCATTGTATTCCAAATGTCCATTATTTTATTTTTAATTTGCTCGGGAGTTCGCCATTGTAGTTCATTATGGTAAACAACTTGTGCAATTGTCATGCATTCTCGTTTGCAAACATTTAATAATTCTTCAGCATTTCGAAAAGGTAACGCAGCAATAGTAACAGCCTCATCTTGCCTTGCACGCTGTAAGTCGACTGAAGATTTATCATAATCTTTATAAAAAAGGTTGTCACCATGTTGTTGAACGGTGGTTTCTTCAACCACAAAGCCACCGCCTATTGAAAAAAATTCACTAGTAATCAAAGGATCACCATGCTCATTGAAAGCGATAAATCTCATGCCATTTGGGTGTTGAGGAAGTGATTCATAATAGTGAAAAACAAGATGTTTTTTAGCATTAAATTTTATTGTTTTTGTTCCATTCAGAGTAAGAATGTCTATAAAAAATAAGATATCGATATTAAAAGTCGTAAATCACATGATTATTATGTCATAACTGTATACTAATGATTGTTGCATACCTGTTTCATTAATGTTGGATATTCGCGATTTTATAGTAGATGTGTCAATTTCCTCGGGAGTTTCACCTTCCATTCCCATTAAAATTGCATTAGGAGTACCATGACCTTTGCCGGTTAAGGCCAATGATCCATATAGATCGATCCGAAGTCTATTTACCTATAACAATAAATAACATGAAAATTCAAAAATATAAAACGGCTTAAATTTTAGAAAAAATGTGCTTGTCACCGGCGGTGACAATAACCAGATTTGGGTTAGGGTTGGATTTAGAGGTAGTAGATTTATTAATATAGTAAAATGCCTCAAGAACATTTTTTGTTAGAACACAAACGGCGGTTTCATAGGCATAATTTTGAGTTATCGCGATTTGTAATTTTTTGAATTTTCTTGTGATTGGCTCGGAACTGTCACCGCCGGTTACAAATAGATTCGCCATAAATTTTAAATGTAAATATTCACCTTTTCAAAAATATTGCGATTTTTTAAATCTGTTACGAAAATCTTTGCTGCTCGCATTGGGCCGACAGTATGACTAGAAAGATACATAACTTTAACGTTAAATCGAACTTTACAATATAAGGTTATTATTATCAACACCAACCTTGACGATGGGCCAATACCAATACTGAAAAGATCAAATGTACTGACCACGGCATGATGGTCTTCAGGTTTTGTAGTTAGTAATTTTTTTGTATATGTGAATTTCCAATGGCCTTTGAAAGGATTAAATCCGTGCGATAAGAATCGGTGCGATAAGAATCGATTAAAACCTCGCGCGAGTCCCATTATTATTACAAATCAAATGGTGAAAAGTCACTTATTATAGATAGTAGAGGTGATACAAACTTGTTTTCACTCATCACTATGTAATGGCAATCAATAGCTTTCCCACGCCTCATCAGAACTATTGCTCTTAGCGATCTATTTTAATGAAATTTGACGTTTAGTGTAACTATCCTTTTAAGACTATTTTGGTTTAACAATCAATCTTATTTATACGTAGAATAGTTTTAACTTTTATAATTGTCGTAATTTTTTTATAATTGTTTTATCATACAATATTCAAAATTTACACAATATAAATTTACTTTTCAAACTTTAATACGTATAGTAAAATCTACGTTAACGTTAAAAATAATTGGCTGTTGAAATTTAGGGTCCCCATTTAAATCTATAATACCTACTAAAATTCACTTATACTCTAATTAACAATTATACTCTAATTAACAATACTAGCTCTAAATCTCTAAAAAAAATAAAGGTCTACACAAAAGGTTCCAAAAAAATTTAAAATTTCATAACAATAATAAACTTGATTAAAAATTTCAACATCAGCATCAGCTACCACAATGATTTAAGTTCGCGAATACTTACAATCAACTACTTCCAAGCGTAAGCTATTGGTGTTTACTAATTTTGTCTCAACATCCGCTTTTGCAGATATGTACGTACGTACGTACTATAAGAGAGCATGATCTTCTAGAGCTCTATTAGACAGCCGCAGCAGGTTCCCTTATGTCAAGCGAAAATCGGACTTCCCAATCCGAATATTTAGCGCATTTGCTCGTCTTATTTATTATGGCATAAAAAAATTAATAATTATACTGTATAATTTATTGATTACAGCTAATTTTATATAAAATACTTATTTTAAACTAAAAAATTAATAAATATAATTTTTTTAAAAATTAAAATTGTTATTGTTTTGTTTTGCAAGTTATTATTAAAGTTATTATTGTTAAAGTTATTATTCTTTAATCTGTAAATTTTTCAAGTAAATTGTCTAAAAATTACAATATATATATTTTTTTAGCTTAAATTTGATTCAGTATATGTTTGAATAGAATTTTATATGTTGGGCAATCATTTTTTAGCAATATCACAGATCCACTAGGTCGATTTGGATGATTAGATGCGTCTTAATGGGCTCTACAATTTTACTTAGAACCCCAATAAAAACCATTTGATTTTCTTTTGCTTTAAGGCTAGTGTAATTTAGCGGACCGTTATACATATTTAGATACAAATATACCAAAGTTTTACAATTTTGCATCAAATAAGAAAATAAAAGACCTATAGAGCGTTATGATTATTACTGCCTTTAAAAACGATAAATTCATTATTACTATTACTTTGACACAAGATGGTCGTGGATTACGTACGTATAAATTTGCTTTTCTATTCGGGATTAATAATAAAGTTAGCATATATGTACGCACATACCGTAAAAGGTGCATATACAAAATCCCCAAAATAGAAGATCCACAATAAATTAGATCCGGAATCAAATGCGGTTTTTTTCAATTAACCAGACTCCGATTATAAATGAGCGCGTGAGAGTGAAACCTGGAAACAGATCATAGTAAATCATTAAATCGGTTTCCAGGTTTTCACTCTTACGCACTCAAATATAAAGCATGTATGCACTTTAAATTTTTTTCTTTTCACGATATAACCTCTCAGATTAAAGGGTTTTGAATGTAAGAGACCCGGGTCTTGTACGCAGTGTATTTATTACTTTTCTCTATTTGGTAAAGATTTTTTTATTTGTAATACATTCATTTATTTTACCTTTCTCGAATTTGGTAAGTACTTACATGTCATTCAATTTCTTCAAATGGATCCTACAGCTGAGAATCAAAATTTATCACTTGTAGAAGCAACTCCTGAACAAGCTCGCATGTAATTATTATTATTATCGTAAAATTATTTATTAACTACAATGTTGAATCATCTAAATATTTCAAATTATTTAGTACAAATCGCAACTCATACACAGAATGGGGTTATCCACAGTTAACTTTAGATCAGTATATAAAGCGTGAATCTATACTCTCAAACAGTTTATATAATTCTGAAAATTTCAAAGTTTGGATTCTAATTTCAACCAAAGATGCGAATGATACTTCAAACACCAATGAATCAGTAATCCTTTCAGCATGCGAAACCTTTAAACATAAAGCTTTAATCACTCTATCATCTGGACAAGTTCAAGAAACAACTTGTTATAGTATCGCATCAGTATTCACACCTCCACAATATCGACATAAGGGTTATGCTTCGACATTGATGAAATTGCTTTCTGATAAATTGAGATTCGAGTTCAAAGCTACGTTTTCATTTTTGTACTCTGACATTGGTACAGATTTTTATGGCAGATTTGGATGGAAAGCTTATTCACTCACGGAAGTTAGGTTTAAAGTTGACGACAATCTCACCACACTTTTAGAAAACCCTGAGATGGTAATTACGATTGATCTATCTAATTTAGACAGCGTAATTCAACAAGATTACGAACTCATCAAAAAAGAATTCTCAAAATTGAATAAAAAAAGCTTGGTGGTACTGCCTATTAATCCCATTTACAATTGGTATTTCGAAAGAAGCAAGCATTCCTCAAAATCAAATGAACATCCAAAGACTTTAGGTGTAAAGATTTTAAAAGAACAAGACATTAATAACCAAGAATTGTCAGAAGGATTCGTTATTTGGCATCACGACTTTCAGTACAATAAATTAGAAATTCTTAGATTTCGTAGTGATTCTCCACAAACAACACAATTATTAATCCAAAGAGCTAAGCAAGAAGCCAGTATATTTAAGTTCAAGCAAGTTACTTTATGGAACCCTGATTTAAGATTAATCGATCTTTCGAAAGAGGGCGAAGTTGTTGAAATGACCACTAAATTGCCATCTTTAGCATGGTATGTAGATGACGACAATGTGGATTGGGTTCTGAATGAGAAATACGCTTGGTGTTAGACGCCAACTTTACTTTTATACTTGAGAATCTTATATTAGTATATTTAGATATCGATATTTGCTATTTATTAGGAATTAATCTGCACTTAATAAGATATATAGCTACCAATTAGAGGTGGTTAATAGAAATGATATTTAATTTATTTGAACATGTACGTACGTATGTATTACAGCTAGCGTTAGGTTTCCATTACACCCTACATCTTAAACAGTAAATTTCGTGTTACTCGAAATTTGGCATTAGATATATTCATTCATGCTGACCTAAAAATTGGTTTACTCCTTTCTCTATACGTTACTCTATTTTTACTATATACTCATATTTACTATAATTTTCCTGGAAAGTTATTAAAAATAAATAATCTACCTTTATTTCTCCAATCTTTCAATAAAAATGATTCGTTCAAGATTTATATCTTCCATCACAACACAACAAACTGATGATGGTCCGTTACTTTATTTACTAATCTTTTTCATGGTGCACATATTTTTTTAGTGGTATATGTTGGACATTTTGCTGTGGCACTTGTGTTGGTAGAGATTTATTAAAGTTTTGTTGCAGAACTATTTGGGTTTTCCCTAAAAGTAGATGGAATAAACGAAAGAAAAATCGTCTCAGATCGGTTGGGATAAGAGGTGGTAGCAGTTCTAAAAGTGATAAATCTCCTTTGGATGATGAAGAATGGGAAATGTTGGAAGATGGTGAACTTTTTAGAGATGTAAATATTTAACAATCTTGGAGGGAGATGGACATTATATTTAAAAAATGGCTTATGAATTTCCTTTTCTTTTTTTTCTATTAGCTGTGTCTAACAAAATCAATGAACTCTTTGATACTATACTAAATTTTTAATAACCTTATAGTAGCATTATGAAATTTCTGTATTATAACTTGTTTTCCCATATTTACAAAGAATTTGACTTATGAAATATATTACTTATCTGAAACTTGTGCATTACCAGTTTAATAACATGTTATGTTCTGTATAGTAAAAAAAAAAAAAGAATACAAAAAAAGATTATACAAAAATTTGTTATTTTAAGCATATATTTCTATCTAACTAATATCAACCAATAAAAATTCACATTACAATTTATTTTAGCCAATATCAATATTTTAGTTATGAGTCTAATTCTATTTTTTAGAATTGGCTGATTCTAGGTTTTAGCTGATGGGTATCCAGTAGTAATAATATAAATATATGATTAAAACTTAATTAATTGAAAAGTTAATAGCTAATTGATTTAAATTTTCAAAATTGAATTAATAAATTTTATTTTTTTTGTCTTTGATAAATCTTTTTTGAGACTAAACAGAATTATATACTTTGGCAATATATCAATTACAGTTTGTAGCATTCTAACTAAAATAGTTTTACTTTACAGTTGTTATAGAGAAAGAAAAAAGAAAAAAAGAAATAATGAAAAATGAGAAAAAAGAAATAGAATCAAAACTAATATATCAAAAAAATAATTATTAATACTAAAGAATTAAAATTTATACTAAAAATCTAAAAAAAACTATCATTAGAAAAAAAATTTGAACTACTACAAGGAAACCACAAGTGAAAAAAGAACAAGGATATCAAAAGCAGATCGCAATACTGAAGAAGAATTTTCGAAGAAAGGAAGTTTAGAAGAAACT